GTTGTGACAGCCAACAATATCTTCACATATTGCCAAGTATCCCTGGAGCCAGCGCGGAGGCTGGAGAGTGAAGGTGTAAAATCATCCTGGTTGAGACCACTGCTCTACACTGATGGAGCAAATTTGACCGTAAGCAGCACTGAACCCAGTAGGTTATGCACCAGGTTAGAGCCTGAAGCTCAGGCTGCGCCTCCCGAGTTTCTGTACTATATACTGCGGGAGGAAAAGTTTCAGGTGCCAGATATAAAAGTATGAGTCCATAATAAAAAATTTAAAAAAATCTTAATTAAAAAAGCACCTCTTCGGAGGCATGATGGGAGTGGATGTGATGATTCACTCATTCTTCGTGTAGATATTCATTAGGGCATGCCTCTGAGATGGTGATGTAACAGGTGCTGGAGCTGACGCAAAGGCAGCCTGCAGTCCCACCTGTAAGGAACTAATTATGCCAGAAGGGTTCAATGGAGATATTTTCAGTTATAAGAGAATGCCCAATTCCAACTGACTTAAACAGTAATGGTACTTTACTGGCTCACACATTCTAAAAGCCCACAGACAGTGTGGGCTCTAGGTAAGGCTGGAGCCTACAGCTGAGGGCTGTCATCAAGGAGTGGGTTTCCTTCAGGTTCCTTGCTCTTCCATTCCTATTGTCAGTTTCATCCTAATGCTGGCCTCCCTTTGGGTCACCAGAGGTGTTAGCAGCTCCCAAGGTTACATGCTTCCTCATTTCCTGAGGACCTGAGATTCACGTTGATTGGGTCATCTAGTTTGGGTCACCTGCCCACCCCTGAATCAGTCATTGACACCGAACAATGAAAGGTGCTGATTGGCTTATTCTGGATCACATGGCACCAGTGTCCATAGAAATCACACAGCATTGCTGGGAGGGGGAGAGAGAGAGCCACCAATGCTGGGCAAATGTGGAGTTTTCAACCAGCCAAAGCGATCTCTTGGTCTTTGCTGCTTTTCACACCATTTGTGTGAGCCTCTATGAAAATCTTATCACAGTCTTCTGTGCCTTACATCTGCTGCTCCTCCCTCTGAAATCTCATTCCATCTCTTACTCTTCACACTGATCCCCTTCTCGCTTTCAAAATTCAATTCAGAGTCAGCTACTCCACGTCTTACTTCCACTTCACCAGACACCCTTCCCTCCTGCACACTCCCTTGGCCCTTAGCCCCTAACTTCCCTGTGCCTGGATTGCTCAGCTTTTGTTTGGCTGCTTCTTGAACTTGGCTATATGAAGTGTTGAGACCTACATTCTGCGTCTGAAGAGTTTTTGTTCTACTAAGTTGTTTAATGCCCAAGAAAGGAATTGAGAGCCTTTGATGGTGATTCCTTGGCGTCCCCAAATTTCAAAAAGAAGATGGGGTGTGTAAGAGTGTGAAAGAGGGAAGCAGACTGGGGCTATGGAAAGAACAAAGGATTTAGAGTCAGACAGTCTTGGGTTTGAATCCCAGCTCTGCGCCCTTTTAGATCTGAGGTTTTGACCAATGGATCTCAGCTTAACCCTCCTTTCTCCTTAATGTATGCATTGCGTGTCAGGCATTCTTGCTTCCTATGATGTTTCACACTTGTATGCTACTATGTCTGTTATTAATTCACATAAGGTACATTTAAAAATACTTGTAACTCTAAGTATTGCCACAGCTGTGGTTCTCTCATTAATAAATCACACAGTGACTTTGGCTGGGAGAATGTCAGACCCTCTAGCCTTAAAGAAGCTTCTCCCCTTCCAGCTGCACGTGACCCCTAGATTAGAGGCAGAGTGGGAGGTGTGGCTGTCCCTTCCACCCGCTCCTCTGCCCAGTTACACCCTCCAAGGTACTGCTTTGGCAGAACAGCTCATGTGCCCAAAGGGCTTAGATCAGCCCTGCATGCACTGTGTAAAGATAAGAATGATCTCATAGTCTTTTTTTTTTTTTAACACAGTCCATTTTAACTAATTTAATGCACTTGGGGCAGGTTTAGTGCATAAAAAATGGGGAATGGCACAGGCAGGAAACATATCTAGTTTTTAAAATATTCTTATGGCAAAGATGCCCCTTTTTTCTGTGAAGTTGCATTTTCCTCCGTATGAAACGTGGTCCTCCGTATGTGTACGGTGTCAACACTTATCCTTTTCAGGTTCTCTGGTTTCAACTTCAGCTCAGCGCTTCCCAGCTGAGTGGCTTAACCTTTCTGAACCTCACCCGCTCATCTGTAAAAGGAGAACACTACTCTGCTAAGAGGGCATCATGCCCTGTTGAATACCCAGTGCACCACACGCCATCAGCCGGGTCAGCTTTAATCTTTATATTACAAATACATGTGCCCGGACTGCTGGAAATCCAGCCTTTCCTAAGCTTCCTTGGCCAGATACATTCCCCAGAGGTCAGGACTAATAAGCCCAGATATAGTTAAGGCATTGTTTTCTTCCTTTGCCCTGATACCCGACCCCAGGCTTCAGGGACAAGCTGTTTCCTACTGGGTCTTCCACTGGCAGTTAATTACTTCAGCATCTACGAGCATTTGTTTGAAAGGTCTGCAAATCTCAACCATGTTCTTCCTATCTTTGTAATTGCGGACATGTTTTTTAGAAGGAGTTCCTGGAGTCTAAGAATTTAAAATTCTAGAACTGACAATTCTGAACATCTTTGGGAGAAAATGCACAATCCATCACCAGACCAGAATATACTGAGAAAATAATTTATTTAATTGTAAATCAGGAATTTTATTTTTTTTTAAATGTTTAAGAATAACTATTCATGAGATCTTGAGTTTGTCCACTTGAAATTTAAATGAATAAAAAAAAAAAATCAAGAGTCCTTCAAATGTAAACATGAGTCCTTTAATCTTTCAGGATAGATCATTTCTTTGGTTCAGGACTTAAACCATTAACTTCCCCTACTCCAGAGTATATTCCAGAAAACTTGAGTTACAGAGAAGCAAGTGTCCTAACTGATGTATGATCTCCTTTTTCTTTTAAAAGTCCACTTCAGGATTTTTCTTGGTTTTGTTTTGCTGGATTGTGACATTTTTTTGGCAAGAAGTGAAGAGTAGGAGGCACAGTACAATAGTAGAGAAAAACGTAGGTTTCATTTTTATCAGAGAAGCCCACTGTGCTGAACGTCAAGCCAGAGCAATGATTCTTCAAATAAAATGCTTAAAAAAGGAAACAAATTACTTTAACTGGAACACAAGCAAAATATAAATATGTAAATGTTCCCTCCTAACTTCCTTTACATTGAATTGCTTAACTTTAAATAATATGTAGGATTTCATAACTTCTCTTAGAGAAGGGAATTGAATGTTAAGCTGTTCAGTTATAAGGACTGGGTCTCCCATTGCCATCCTCTGCTTTTGATATAAAATCAATGAACCATTTTATTAAATGCATCTGGTTGTTACACCTCAGTAGTGCAGATGGGGCAGGGGAAAATGAGGTTACTTGATGGGAGGGCTTTTCCTCCAATCCACTCCTGATGGCAGCCCTCCAAGCGGGGCATGACAGGCTGAGGGACCCCGAGGGTTAGAGCAGGTGGCAGCAGGACTTGCTGATGACTGGTTGTCATGAAGCCCAGGTCCGGAAAATGTAACTCCTTGCAAGCCTCTTCAATCCACGGTGGGCCTTTGTTTTCTGACACCACCCACTTCTGGCCAAGGACCTGAAGACAAGCTGCAGGACTGGCAGACTGTGACGGCAAAAGAAGCATCTTCCATTCAAGTCCCCTCTGCTCTGGGTGTCGTGGGATCAGGGAGGCTGGAGACCATCCACATCGCCCCCTCCCATTCAGCGCCTGGATCCACGCTATATTTAAGTGCCAGTCCACGTCCTGTGGCCTCCGAGGTGGCACTGCCCAACCTCGACCAGTCCCCTCTCTTTCCACTCTGTTACCTCACGGCAAACTCACTTTGAGGCTTTGTTTTCACTTCCTTCAGATTCCCTGTGACTCGGAACATTCGCCACCACGATATCCACCCACTGGGAATCTCGACCAGTCTTTCGCACAGAAGCCAAACAACATTGTGAGAAGAGGGTAAGCACTGCAGACGGCCCGGCGCGACCTGCTCCTGAAGCCATCTGAGGACTGCCAAGCAGGCTGCGTCCTCACTGCAAGTTCTCTTGCTGCAAAGCAACCTACGTTGCTTTAACTCAGCACCCTTTCCTCCAGTACTTTACCTGGCACGTGTAGAGTGTTTCTGGCTTTTTTTTTTTTTTTTTGGCCTNGGCACTGCCCAACCTCGACCAGTCCCCTCTCTTTCCACTCTGTTACCTCACGGCAAACTCACTTTGAGGCTTTGTTTTCACTTCCTTCAGATTCCCTGTGACTCGGAACATTCGCCACCACGATATCCACCCACTGGGAATCTCGACCAGTCTTTCGCACAGAAGCCAAACAACATTGTGAGAAGAGGGTAAGCACTGCAGACGGCCCGGCGCGACCTGCTCCTGAAGCCATCTGAGGACTGCCAAGCAGGCTGCGTCCTCACTGCAAGTTCTCTTGCTGCAAAGCAACCTACGTTGCTTTAACTCAGCACCCTTTCCTCCAGTACTTTACCTGGCACGTGTAGAGTGTTTCTGGCTTTTTTTTTTTTTTTTTTGGCCTGTAACAATTTTTATTTTTTTAGTTCAACTGATAGTATTTCCCCCAAACCCAGAATAGATAAGAAATTATTGGGAATTTACACCTGATTACCAGAGGTTCATTCTCCCATATTACAAGGCTCAAAGTTACAAGGAAGAATAGTAGGACTTGCTGGGTTGGTGTTTTGTTAGTATTTTTTTAAAGTTAAAATTAAGTGTTACTTTTCTGAAGAAGTGGCCAGAATCCTCTCTCAAATTAAGAAACCTCCTGGAACAATTTAAAGTCAGATGTTATTTCTAACCAAATTATATTCTTTTGTCTGCCAAGATAACTTGACAGTCTTAATATCTGAAGGCAGGCCTATATGATAATCCCAGCAATATTCTGGAGATAAGATTTTAGTGGGTTTGTTAAGGAGGAAATACTTGTTTAGGTGGCTTTCATCATGCCACTTAGCTTCTATGTCATTTTTCTTGTCCTGGAGGATTCCCTTGAAGCACTCCTGGGTGATGTTTAGGACCTGAATGGGTGTTCCTCCAAAAATGGCCGCGTGATAATAAAAATCCCCCTGGCCATACGGAATGAATGCTGCGGACTCCTTCCGTCTCTCATAGGTAAAGTCAAGAGGATCTGCCTTGTACCACCAGGCCTGTAGCTGAGCCACTGACTGGCCGAGGGTCTCCACCCCAAAGGTGTCTTGAAAGACCTGGTCCACGTCCATGCAGAAGAGGAAGTCGACCTCGTACTGGATGTGGGCCACAATGTGCTCCCCAATGGTCTTCATGCGCATCATGCTGATGTCCTGCCACCTCTTCTCAGGCTTGACCTCAAACACTTTGAAGGAACGCAGAGGACCCAGCTCTATCAAAGGCAACCTGGAGACATCATCCATCATGATGTAAAAGATGACTTTGTGGCCAACCATGAAGTGCCTATTGGCAGATGTTAAGAACTCCTCCAAGTAGTGCTCAATGTATCTGAAACAAAGAAGAACGGGGCAAATGTAACCTTTGGGACGCTGTAGGAGACCACGTACTATTCTAAAATGTTGTTTGTATTTTCAAGTTTAGGAGACAAATGTTTTTCCTCACCCCAGATGTACATTTTCACGTGTCTGTTACCATAACATTCCTAATTGTCCTCCATTGTTGAGTCACTCTGTCTTGGGGAGGTGGAGTGACTTATCTGACTGCCAATTTTGGAAAGGCGACTGGCCAGGAACAGCCCTGCCCCCTCTTCTCCTCTCACTCTTGGAAGCTGACCAGTTGGAGATAGTATGTGTGCTTTGGGCCTTACAGGACAGACATTTAGTGGTACAGGTCCTACTCCCATGTCCAGAGGCCTGAAGTTTCTAGCGCTGTAGTTGCCTGGGTGCCTAAGTCTTCCTACTTCGGTGGTTCAGTGTTAGGAGGCCTAGGGCCTGCAGATATGAGCCACATTCTCCAATACCAGCTTCAACTGTAACGAAAATGATATTTACTATCATCTGCCACTTTGGTGGCTCCCTTTCTTTACTACCAAAGTGTGTTTTTAATGGTGGCCTCTGGAAACCTAAGGGAGTCTTTAAATGGAGAACATATATCTGAGCAGTATAAAGAAGGACTTCGACATGGCTCTGTGGCTGATGGCCAGGAAATCCTTTGGTGCTTTGCATCTTTAAGAAAAATTTACAGTGCCCTGAAGCTGGGAGACAATCCTGGGGGAAGGACTTGAGCCATTGTGTGGTTTAACGGTGTTTAGAAATGAAAGCACCGAGATTGCATTGTTATTTGAAAATAAACCAAACATCACACCTCCTAAAAGTCCAGATCCACCCTTGTGAAGATTCATTGCTGATGAATACACTCCCCTCCTGCCTCAGAGTGGAGGGCTAGGGCTTTCACCAGATATGCCATTTACCCTTTAGTTCTGCAGAGTTACAACTGTGGACCAAAAAGGGGCTCTACATAATATAAACAAGGTGACCTGGTCATAAATTCCTAACTGGATAGATCAGGGTGGGTAGTCACACCCCAGGCATATAACTTCCTTTAGTAAAAGGTTTATTTTTGACTTAAGCAAGCCCTGTCCATTGTTTCTGTGCACCTAGGTTAACACACCCTTGAAAGAAAGGTACCACCCTTAAGCGAGCACATAATCTTGTTAACTATCTTAAACCTTGCTTTCTTCCACCCTCATGTAATCTTTCTTATGTTCCCTCCTTAATTTAAAATGCGTAAAAGAAACTGCAAAACTGGCATTCTCCAGGGCATTTGAGGTCTTGTTTTCTGGTCGTTGTTGTCAGTTTGGGTCAAATAAAATCCTATAAAAATTTTTTATAGGTTTAGATGTTTCTTTCGTTGACACAACTGTTGGTTGAAGTCATTGTGGGGCAGTGGGCAACGTTCTGTTCTCTTTGGAAACACCAGGATCATATCAACCTGCATCGTGGCTGGCTTGTCCCCTCTCGTGCCAAAGGATTAGGTGAGCTGAGTGAGCATTGACTCTGGACTCATAACAATACAGATTCTTCTAGTAAAAATGTCAAAATTCCAGAGTTACCCTCTTCTGTTAGAGATGCTACCTAGGTCCCTGGGATCAGCACAGTCAGTGAGTGACATTAGGACTTAATCAGTATGGTGCCAGCAATGGCCTCTGAGCTCTGGGTTGGAGAAAGACTTAGAGGAGCTATCAGATCTTCATGGCGCTCTCCTTTACACCCTATGGGGGCAGACCTCAACCTCAGATCTACCTGGGCCCGGCTTTCAGAAAAGGTAGAGATGAAAAGGCCAAGAGGGGGGGGAGGTGGATAGGAAAATTGAACTTTTGGTGGTTTTGAAGACAAAATCCCCAAAACTGCGAAATGCATTATATTTTAAAACTGATATTATAAGCTACCAATTTCAAGTAAGAATGATTGCAGTTTGGGGAGAAACATTCTACATGTGGAAACGGAAGCTGAAAGAGGAGCCTATCCAACCTCTGGAGGAGGGAGCTCTGGCCAGCCAAATCTCCGGGGGCCCAAGGCCCCCAGGAGGGCCAGGGTAGGGGAGCCCGAGGAGCCCATGGAGGAGCCGTCAGCCACGCGCATGTGGAAAATCACCGCACTTAGGACAGGCTGGACCAAGAACTTGCTGTGAGTGCATCTGTCCTCGGTCCTGGGTCTTGAGAGCATAGGAGAGAGAATGATGCACTGACCATTGTCATTTTGGAGATTTCCAGAGAAAGCCATGGCAGTCGGGGTGAGGTAGCTGTGGGTGAGCTGTACACCCTGGGCTCAGTGTGTAGCCGACACCTTTATCTGTAACCTGAGGCCCTCCCTCTGAGGTGGGAAGGAAGCCCGCTCATCGATTATTGTTTTTGCCATCTTTTGAGGGCCTCAGCACAAACGAGACTGAAATGGTCCCATTATAACATCCTCCTATCTGGTCCTTCACACAAGTCATGAATAGCCTCTGAGGCCCAGGGGGACCCTCACAAACATTTCGACAGTTGGAACAAGAAGTCAAGGTCGATTTTAATACTGACACCTACCTTCCGATAGCAAAAACCGTCAGACCCACGGTAATCTTCTGTTTGTCATAGTAATCTTCTAAGATGTCTCTGTTGTAAGTGCCTTCCCACACCACCGGCGCCTTCCATCCAGTCACTGTCACCACCCCTGGCCGGTTCCTGGTGACAAAACACAGGGCCCTCTGAGTGGGGACGGCTTTGTTGAGGTGGGGCAGAGACTGGGGAAAACCTGGGGTCGGCTAGGATTTGGGGTCACTGTCTGTGAGTCCTGACTGTGGCTTAATGCCAAACAGCTGGCTGGGTCCTAAGGCATTTCAGGGGCAGCAGCTTCTGGGTGTGGGACAGAAGGCCCAGGTGCCTCTGAGGGCTGCCTTGGGGGACTTTATGAGGATCTTCCCTGCATATCTCATACCTTCCTTCCCTTTCCTTGTTTCTCTTTCCTCCTAATTCCTATCTCCCCGGCCCTTTCCTAAGCCACCAGTGGCATCTCTGGTATTCTTTATCCCTGTAGGTACCATCTGAGCCTAAGAAGGACCTGACCCTTGACACGGGTTGGTTGAGAGAGGGACACTGAGTTGAAAGAGAGAAAACTGATTCCATTTGCCTTTTACCAGGAAAGGATTTCTGAGCAGGAACCTGGTTAGAGGCCAAAAAGGGCCCCAGACTAGGGGATTCTGGCGTTATCATTTCTTTCACAAACAAGCAGAGCCTCCCCCGCCCCCTAGAAAAGAAGGGACTCAGCAGAGGCCCCAACAGCCTGGGCAGGAACACCCCAGTACAGACCATGGGGCCTCTTGACGAGGAGCACAAAGGGGAGGGGGAAAGCATGTTTTCCGCACTCGGAACACTTGAAAGGAACTTGGCAAAGCCAACACAAACACAGGAAGCACCGTCAGAGCTACAACAAACTGAAGGGTAAAGGCAGAAAGGCTGAGGAGCGGCCGGGGCCCAGCGAGTGCGGGACTCAGCCCCGAGCGGGTGGTGGAGACTCGGCCCTGACCCCGTTTTGCTCGGGAAGTGGCAGCATTTCTCCCACTGGGAAGCAGACACTGAAACAGTCATTTAGGTCCAACCCCAGCGTGCACAGGCCTGGCCCCTGCTAGGCATTTGCTTGTGCTTCATCCATTGCGGGGAGGAGGCCAAGTCCCCGTGGTCAGGTCCCTGCTGGCTGTAGGCCCGTGGCCCTGGGGAGGTGCTGGCACACAGGACACATGTAGATCAGGCCAAAGGGGGCTTCCTCTCCTATCCCACATGGATGGAGGGCAGGTTTTCACAAAACTGCCCTCACTCCATCAGCAAAACTTGGTTTTTCCTCAGTGAGGCTGGGCAAGGCTGGGTCAGCCCCAGCCCCAGAGTGAAAAAGAGCCTCAGGAGCCTGGTTCTCACGCCTCCTGTCCCTCTGTCACTCTGCAGCTGTGTAGGAGCTGGATACCTGGTAAGCAGGTAAGATTTTCTTTAAAAGAGAGAAAGAAGAGGAGGCAAGGGAGGGAACAGGTACACCGAGTACTTAGGGGGCACAGGAGAGAAGTACTTGACTTTCATTGTCTCATTTAATCCTGGCGACCACCTTATGTTTATAAAGTGGATGCTATCGTCACCCCCATTTTACAAGTAAAGTGGGGGTAGGACAGGGGAAAGGAACTTTGTCTTTAGCCTTTTAATTTATAGGAAGGGCCAGACCAGGGCACTCAGTCTCTTGACATACATTTTGGAAATTCCTGCTCTTTACCAGGCCCAGTGCTGAGCACGGAGATCAGAGAAATGAGGAACCCCCACACCCCCCTCCTACCCTTTGAGAGTCTCAGTCCTGACAGGTGGTCAGCCTGCTACACACTCCTCAACTTCACAACCATTCAGTCCACAACTTCCAGAAAGACTGAGACAGAAAACAAACCAGTGTTCAGTTTGGTTACTTGGCTGGGAGAATTCCTTCGAGCG